GGAAATCTGTTACTTCCTCCGTGAGTCTGTCGGACGATGACTGTGTTTTTCCGGCTGTCTGACCCTTTACTGAAGCAGGAAGTGATGCAGAGCTGAGGTGAACTGCAGCTGGTAACAAACCGTCTTTATGAGACAGCATGGGGAGCACTCGCTGTGTGATTAGCAGGTTATACCATCACAGGCATCCTTCCTTAAGGGTTTCAACCACTAGAAAGGAGTGACTGTCCCAGTTTGACTTCACAAAGGTCTGCTCATCCAAAGCAATTCCCCTTTCGGAGGATCTTAAACTATCAGAGAGGTGTTTCCTCTAGTGTTTGTTGTTTTGATGATTCCCTCAGCCCACCTCTGGTCTTTGGTGCACCTTTTAAATATACAACCGTTCCTAATATGCTCCAAAACGACGTGTTTACCTTGATGGCTTCCTGCACTTGTGAATGGCTTTAAATAATCTTATGATATGACTCTGAGACGTCAAATTGTATTGAGACAAATGGTTCAAATTCCAATCACGCACAGAGTCATTCCCAGCAAAATGTGAAGCTCAGAAAACGATGGTCTTTGCTTACAGTGAGGTCTTTGATAATAATAATAATGCATTTTATTCATAGAGCGCTTTTCTTGAAACTCAAAGACACTTTACCGAGTAACAATTCATAAAAACATAGTTAAAACAATACACTTAAAATATATAAAGCACAAAATGAGTTACAGATTAAAAGAGGTGAGTTTTGATTTGTGATTTGAACATGGTGAGATTGGGGCAGTCACAGACAAGTTTACGTATATATTTCAACCAGTCTAAGTCATAGGTTGGCCACTGCGCCAAACTCACATAGCAATACAGGAAGTATGAAGCTAGAATACATTGTTCACTTAAAGCAGTGGAGAAAAAAAAAAGTCGGCCCCCCTAACACAAGTCAGGCTCAGTGGCGGCGCCAGAGATTTATTTTGGGGGTGCTGTGGGGTAGCTTGACGTTTCATAGAGGGTGCTCAAACATTTAGGGTTTCCCATTAATGTACCGGGCGCTACAGAGGAATGTTCTACTGCAACACTCCCCACGCACACACACAGTGTACCCGCGACTGTTACAATGAAGGCACGATAATCAGCTCACAGCATATAGGTGTAAGCAGGGGTAAAGTGCTGTTTTTATAGGTGGTGTGTGGACCTCACATAGGGGGGGTCCGGGGGCAAGCTCCCCCGGGAAGATTTATTTTTAAATATTGAAGTTGAAAGCATCAATCTGGTGCACTTTGAGAGCAACATGAGAGATCTATGGATACATCTCTCAACACCCATTTGAAACAGAACTGTAAACAGATTTACTATTTCTTTATGGATATTTTACAAATCACCCTTTTAAACTTTATTCTTGTTTTACTGTCATATAGTATTTCATAGCTGTTTTTCATTTATTCTCTTATTTTTTATAACTATAATGATCATATAAACGTGTGCCTCGGAAATAATAGTTTACATTAATGGTGACCAAAACATTTGAGACCCACTGAGATAACACTGAGAGAGTAATTTAGCTCACTGAGCCTCTCAGTCTGACAGGAGAGGACTCTCCTCCACTTTGTTGTTGAAAAAACTCCTTATATCTGTTAGCGTAGCTCGCTAGCACCAGAAGATAACAACAACGATCTCCGGTACCGGTGCGCTCTCTCTCTCGCTCGCGCACACAAAATGTCTCGTTCCACACACACACAGAGTCGAGCTTTAATGAAGCACAGAGACCCAGACGTAATAGTACTGCATCATATTATTTTCGAATCAATACTTTTTTTAATTATGATTTTTTTTTTTTAATCTTTTTTTAAAAAACATTTTTTAAAAACATTTTTCCTGGTCTCTCGCGCCCCCCCTGGCATGCCTCTGCGCCCCCCAGGGGTCCTTGAGTTACACACCATCTCTATCAACATTAGAACTGTCTATTTATGCCAAAGCTGCTTGGTTTTTCATCTACACAGACGTAAAAATATACACAGAGGCTGTTGCAATGCGGCTGATATATTTCACGGTGTTCCCCGTGCACATGCATGGCTCTCTGGCTCCAGGACACCCAGATGTTTGATCCGCCAACATCTGCTGCCTTCATTGTTCGTACATCTGGAAAAAACCGCAGCATGTGTTTTAGAAGAAGTTCCTCGAACTCACCAGCTCCTTACCGAAGTGCAGTAAGTGAAACACTGACTTTAAATCATTGATACAAGTAATTCCATGAACAGGGAAGGATCTGTATCTGTTTGAACACTTCATTACTTTACAGTTCCTTTAAAACGTTTCCATTTTAAAATTCTGGTACCTGTTTTTTACCATTGTTTTTTTGTTTGCTTTCTATTTAATATATTAGTCTACTCTTTTTGCATTTACCTTTTAAACGCACTCTACTTTGAGTGCTGTAGCGGCGTAAATGTCCCCTTGCTGGACAAATAAAGGAATTGCATTTCGGACTCCACTTTTTAAGAATTACTATATTTGTTATGCTTTCTTGTATATATCTATATATATATCGATATATATATCGATATATATATCTATATATAGATATATATTTAAAAAAAACAATATAACACACTACAGGAAAGCATAATAAAGCCTCTTTGAATGTAAGAGGAAGGATCTTTATCTGTTTTAACACTTTATTACTCTTCAGTTTATTCAAAATGTGTAAACGTTCCCGGCTCTTTCAATACATTAATGTGTTTGTTTCCGTATAAAATGATGCTGCATGTTTTTTAACGTTGTTTTTGCTTATTTGTTTATATTTGTGTGCTTGCTATGAAGGTAGATATGGTGCAAAATGTGAGAGCTTGTAAAACCTGCTGTGAGCACTTGTCTGAGCTTGTGTGCATACATTTACACTTGTATAAAATATCCACGTATCTTTGAACCACATTTGAAGTCACAGAAAGAAAAAAAAGTGTTTTAGCTTGTAGAAAAACGTGTATTTTTAAAATGTATTTTCCATTACAACTGCAACTTGGTTATTACAACCTCTCAAATCAGTCTTTACATGTAAAGGGGGTTGGAGCGAAGGGGAGGAGCTATCTGAATGACGAGGCGCAAGCTCGGGTCAGTCACACACAGCCATGGGTCAGGTCGAACCGGATGACTGCCGGGCCCCGCAAACATGCCCCTTTCACACCAACGCGGTTCCAGGGCCGGTTCAGAGCTAGAGCCTGATTAGCACCGGTTTGTCCTGTTCACACCGCAGAGGAGCCGGCTCTTTTCCCCGAAAACCGGTTCTTACCAAGCGCGAAAAAAAGATTGTTCTAGAAGCAAGAACCGCATACGTCACGCTTACGTCGGAGGGGGGCGAGATTAACCTCAGCAAACAGTTTATGGCGAGTAAGGCAAATACAAGTTCTAACAAGCAGTAGTGCTGAGCAAAGTGACTAGAACACAACCACACACTTTATAAAGTCAGGCAACACTAGCCAGGCTTCGTGTGATTCTGTTTATTTAACCTGCTTAAAGAAGTCAAGGACTTCAAGTACCTGGGCTCATGGGTCAACTCAACCGAGCAAGATCTTAAGGTGAGGAAGGCAGTTCTCCTCTATGGCAGTGAATGCTGGACCCTGAAGCCAACCCTGCAAAAGTCTCTTGACGGATGCTACACCAGAATGTTGCGAGCAGTACTTAACATCAGCAAGAGTGTGCATGTAACCAACAACATCCTGTACTTTTTTTTTAATGTTTTCAAATATTATTTTTTAGAATATCTTAGGCCCTCACAGAGGGCCTAGAGGGCCCTGACGGCTCGCCACTGACTTTGACCATCCGTTCGCTGTTATTGATCATTGTGGAGAGCAGGCAGACGTGTTGTGTTGTCTTATAGCATCTATCGGATGGAATCAATACATGGGCTGCACAGGTTGTCATGTCCGACTACCACAAGTAGAATCATAATGAAAATGTACCTGTAGAAAACGGCTTATGCCACAATAGGATAGCAACAAGTAGTCAAGATAGTCAGTTTAGCTTCGGTTGCTATGCCAACATCACCCAACACGATCATTGACCCGACGCAGTCCCCCATTGTTGTTGTTCTTAGCGCCGTTGAGGAGAAAATCAGCAACAGACTATGGCTCTGACTGGACAGATTCGTCGATGTATTCTGCCACAGAGCAGATTCGTGAAGTTGTAAAGACTGATTTGAGAGGTTGTAATAACCAAGTTGCAGTTGTAATGGAAAATATAAAAATAATAATAATAATTATGCAAGTGAGCATTTCATCACCAAGTTCATTTTTCTTTCTTTCTGTGGCTTAAAATGTGGTTCACAGATACGTGGATATTTGTAAATGTGCACACAAGCTCAGATCTTTTTCTGCAAGTGCTCACAGCAGGTTTTACAAGCTCTCGCTTTTTGCACCATACCTTCATACTTTCCTTTCTATTTAATATATTAGTCTACTCTTTTTGCATTTGCCTTTTACACACTCTGCTTTTACTGGTCTATCGCGTTAATTTCCCCCTGCTGGACGAATAACGGAATTGTATTTCGGACTCTGATGAACTTTTTAAGAATGACTCTTTTCTCATTCTTTCTTATATCTCCTTGAAGTGGCCCTACTGTACACAGCAACTTTTTAAGGTCCATATTTGTATCTTGTGCCTCTGCTGTGACACACAAAGCTCTATCTATATGCACAACAACCTAACACACTACAGGAAAGGGAACACCCCTAAAAAGCAGAATAGGACCTCTTTAAATTACCTAGACGCACCATTTATCACAGAGAGAACCAGACGAGAGTGGGGAGAAAAGTGACAGCATAATAAATGAAGCTTTGACAGGAGGATTTAACAACTACTGGGTTAGTTTATGAGAAGTGACATAATGTAGTTATTATTGTTGGCATGCAGAATTGGGAGACATGAGTCAAATTAAATAGAAGCAGTTGTCCAGACTCTGAGTCACTCCTGGTTTTACGTCCGGGTGGTGACAGATCCTCCTGCTCTCCGTAATAAAACCTGTGTGTAAAGCTAGGCTGTCTTTACACGCTTAAGTGAGAGTGATGGATGGGGGGGAGTAAATGGAGGAGAGGAAGACACAGTTTGATCTTATTTCACGAGGGAGGGAGTAGGAAGTGTGTGTGTGTGTGAGTGGAAGTGTGTGAGGAGAGAGAGAGAGGTTGCTCCTCAGTTGTTCCTCCTCTCAGTCTGACAGCAGCAGCCGGTCGTTCCTCCTCAGCTGTGGACCCCACCAGGTAAGCAAAACAAACACACACTCTGACACCATGCGACAACGACCCTGGGACACACACGACTCTGCAGGATAAGCTTCTGGAGCTTTAAAAAAAAACTAAAAAGAGATAAACTAAAAGAAGAAGAAGAAGGAGAAGAAGAAGGAGAAATACCCAGAGGTGTGTGTGCGTGCAGAGACTCGAGAAGTTATTGAAAAGTCGCCAACTCAGCACATTTCTGAAAAGAGTTTCTCCGAGAACACCGGCTCATTAACACGCTGTGCACGCTGTGTGTGTGTGTGTGTGTGTGTGTGTGTGTGTGTGTGTGTGTGTGTGTGTGTGTGTGTGTGTGTGTGTGTGTGTGTGTGTATTTTGTGTGTGTGGTTAATCCGGACCGCAGTCTCGTGCCAGATTTATGCTCCGTGTTGTTGTAGACGTGGCTTCCTAAATTGATTCATTATGACTATTGCACGTGTTATTAGGTGGCAGGGAGCTTGCGGTTACTATCATGGTTACAGGGTGAAGAGGGGGGGCTAGGGGTGAAGAGGTCACTTGAGGTCATGGTATGATAATATTTTGCATCAGCTCCTGTTACCAAACCACACCTTATGAAAGCTGGGATAGGATCCATGTGTGGGTGAAAAGATAAACATTTTACATTACTTGGACGTTGTTTTTATGTCTATAGTTTTATCCCCATTGGACGAGTTTCAGCAGGTATTGTTCATGCATGCTGGACTGTGGGAAGTAAACTGTTGGAGCTATGCATTGGTTTATATCATTTAATAGTTAAACATGTATTTTCTTGCTGTTTGTATACATAGCAAATGTCTTCATAGTGTCATTATTTAAGTTAAAGGAGCTGTGTTATGCTTTTATTTTGAAGGATGCTTTGGGCACCGGGTGATAAGGTATTTATTAGAGTCCCCAAGTCCTGTAATTCAATTGGAAAAGTCTCTACTTTAAAGAGTCCTCTCCTGCTGATGTTCAGGTGTTTATCAATATGTAGTGTCTCTTCTTTAAAGAGTCCTCTCCTGCTGATGTGCAGGTGTTTATCAGTATGTAGTGTCTCTACTTTAAAGAGTCCTCTCCTGCTGATGTTCAGGTGTATATCAGTATGTAGTGTCTCTACTTTAAAGAGTCCTCTCCTGCTGATGTGCAGGTGTTTATCAGTATGTAGTGTCTCTACTTTAAAGAGTCCTCTCCTGCTGATGTTCAGGTGTATATCAGTATGTAGTGGCTCTACTTTAAAGAGTCCTCTCCTGCTGATGTTCAGGTGTATATCAGTATGTAGTGTCTCTACTTTAAAGAGTCCTCTCCTGCTGATGTTCAGGTGTATATCAGTATGTAGTGTCTCTACTTTAAAGAGTCCTCTCCTGCTGATGTTCAGGTATGTAGTGTCTCTACTTTAAAGAGTCCTCTCCTGCTGTTGTTCAGGTGTATATCAGTATGTAGTGTCTCTACTTTAAAGAGTCCTCTCCGGCTGATGTTCAGGTGTATATCAGTATGTAGTGTCTCTACTTTAAAGAGTCCTCTCCTGCTGATGTTCAGGTGTATATCAGTGTGTAGTGTCTCTACTTTAAAGAGTCCTCTCCTGCTGATGTTCAGGTGTATATCAGTATGTAGTGTCTCTACTTTAAAGAGTCCTCTCCTGCTGATGTTCAGGTGTATATCAGTATGTAGTGTCTCTACTTTAAAGAGTCCCTCTCCTGCTGATGTTCAGGTGTATATTGGTATGTAGTGTCTCTACTTTAAAGAGTCCTCTCCTGCTGATGTTCAGGTATGTAGTGTCTCTACTTTAAAGAGTCCTCTCCTGCTGATGTTCAGGTGTATATCAGTATGTAGTGTCTCTACTTTAAAGAGTCCTCTCCTGCTGATGTTCAGGTGTATATCAGTATGTAGTGTCTCTACTTTAAAGAGTCCTCTCCTGCTGATGTTCAGGTGTATATCAGTATGTAGTGTCTCTACTTTAAAGAGTCCTCTCCTGCTGATGTTCAGGTGTATATCAGTATGTAGTGTCTCTACTTTAAAGAGTCCTCTCCTGCTGATGTTCAGGTGTATATCAGTTTGTAGTGTCTCTACTTTAAAGAGTCCTCTCTCCTGCTGATGTTCAGGTGTATATCAGTATGTAGTGTCTCTACTTTAAAGAGTCCTCTCCTGCTGATGTTCAGGTGTATATCAGTATGTAGTGTCTCTACTTTAAAGAGTCCTCTCCAGTGGATGCTCAAGTTTAATTTGTGTAGTTTTGAGGGTTTCTTAAGTCAGGGACTCAAAGCTTCTGTTGTTACTGTCTGTGAATGATCAGTTTGTGTAGGTCGAGTTTATTAAAATGACGTTGAAATGTTACGTAAGTGAGCAGGGAAGTATCCTCTGACATCTGGCTGGCTGTGATAGTGAAGCGGATTCAGATAATATTATATTATCAGCTGTTGGAAGAAATATATAACGGCAGAGCTCCAGTCGTTTGATTTTCTCACAGTCACGCTCCATCCATCATCTCCAATCCTGTTAGCGTTCATCTGAAAAGAAACCCTGGGAATCTCTCTCTGTTATCCCTCAGATGTTTACTCTTCTCTCTTATCCTCCTTTTGTTATTGTTTCTCTTCTCCGTCTTGTTTTCCAGAGGATTTTTGTGACATATTTGTGGATTTGAAAGCTTAAATGTGAGTGTAGATGGCATGGAAAAGATGGAGAAAGAAGAGTGGGAGGAAAATAAATAGAAACTGAGAAATACATCAGACTGAAAAACATAGAAATGGGGAATTATATAAAAGATGGAGAACACAGTAGAGGCGGACATCCAGGATTTAACTGTAGATTGTTTTGGTTGCATGGTCTTCAAATTCCACTAAAAATCAACTGCAGCTGTTTGTTTTCATATAAACTGATAAAACCACCACCTGTCCCAGCATACACGATGCTAAGGACTAGCTGGGAAACACAGTGAAGGCTTCCTCTGAAATGGAGAGCCAATGTAACAGTGTCTTAAACCTAAATATGTTGCATTGGCAAGCGCAGTTAATTCCACCTGTTAGCTCTACTCTTGTGGCGCGTTTCCACTGCAGGCCTCGCTCGGTTTGGTTAGGCCTTATTAGGCCCGGCTCACTTTAATGCTGCGCTTCCATTACAGTTTAGGAACTGGGGCAGTTACTATAGTAACGCAGTGTAGGCGGAGCCGTGACGTCATCTTCAATGAGAGCCCCAGAAAAACAACACAGCCGTTAGCTCTTAGCACTCAGAGCTCACAGCTCTTCATATCTGTTCAGAAACCAGACAAAAGTTAAACAAGTACAAACCACAGACTGCCTGTGTCATGGCGAATACAGTCGCTGGTTTATTTATGTCTGTATAGGCCGTTGTTGTGAGTGTGGACTGTCGGAGCATATACTGCGTTAGCTTAGCGGATCTCCATTTAGAAAACACACATTTAAAAAAGGTTTTTCGCCTGCCGTCTGTCTGCAGACTTGTCAAAGCGTTAATTCATGGTTTTTACTAACCGGTATCAGTATGTTGTTACTTCGGCATCATTTTGAAACGTGTATTACAATTAAATCACGGTCAAATATGTTCATCTTGTTGGAGTTGTAGCCCCCTTGCCAGCGATTCTCTCTCTAGTTTAGCATACTCAGCCCGACTCAGCCTGGTTGTTCCTGGCCCTAGAACCACGATTTTATGGGGCCAGAAAAACTGTGAATTAGGACCCGCTAGCCGGTACAAGGCCAAGTGGAAACGCAACCAAAAACGGGCCCCGCACGGCTCGGCACGCTTAAAGCGAGCTACCCGCTGCAGTGGAAACGCGCCATAGGTCTCCTCCAAATGAAAATAAGTGTCTCTTTGGGTGTCAAATTCTCCACGTTGCTGCGTTATGCGAAACAACTCTAAAACCCATTGTAACTTCAACCCTGTCTTTATCGAAGTGGCAGAAAGGCAGTCTGTTGCAAACAAATCTAAAACTGTTTGGATGGAAACAAAGACAGTCAAATTACTCAGTTAAGTAAAAGCTGAAACGTGATATTTCTTCGTAAGTATCAGTGTGAAATACCAATTACACATAATGAGGCAATCATGAGATAGAGAATACAGGAATATTGATTATGGCCATTTTAATGAACATATTGCAAACACAACATCATAGCAAACATCTTTGCATTGAGTATTGTAAGGATGCTTAAAGGAATGCTAGAGCTAGTTTTATCTTATGTGACTCGGTGGGTTGGAGGTTAAAACCCCCCAGGATTATCCATTGTTAGAAACATATGCAGTCAGATTCTGGGCATAAGGATCCTCTGAGTGCCAAATGTCTTGTGTTATTTGAAATAGTCCCAAAGGAATTCTATAAATGGCTTTGTAACCAAAATCTAGTTCCTGATAAATTACGAAATATTTCAGGGCATCAAACAGTGTCTTTTGTCAGGTTTCAATGTGTTGGTATGGCTGGGGTAGTTGCAGAAAAGTGTGTCAGGACAACAAATAGATATACATTGAGTGGCTGGACCAACAGCCAAGGTTAATAACCGCACATTTCATCCCTGGAAAAGTATTTGAAAGTGTTTCTGGCTGTGACTCATGCAGAGAGAATTTAAAACATCTGCTCATGTTGTCACTTCCAATCAAGTCCTGTAGGTGATGGTATGTGTGTGGAGGGCCACATAACGTACTGTTTATCCACATCTAGAGCTTCTCTCCTTGTTATTGAAAAGAGTAGACGTATGTATAGTTTGAGATCAGTCAGGAGTTACCTAACGCTGATTTGTATTAACTTACGTTTTTGGTATTCCAGCTTGTCTAATTAGTGGTTTCCTAGAATTCCAAGAAACCCTTGATTGTCTGCCAGATGTGGAGGACTTGTTTTTATCAATGGATGATGTCTCTATAGCAGATTTGTATTTCTTTGATTGTTTTACATCGGTGCAAAATCAGTAGGAGAACAGATTTGCTTGGTGATACAAAAGGACAAAGTCTGATGAATACCGTCAGTATCTATTTCAGCTCTGTTGTTATTGCTATGAAACGTCCTGAAACTTGGCCACTTATCCACAGGAATGTTTCCAAAAGCACTCATCAAAACTGACCCTAAAGTGTTGGTTGGCTTTTTTCTTGGATTGAGCTTTTTTTGTGACTTAGTGAGTAAAGAAAGAGCCTCATGATAATGATGTGTTATGTGATGGGTTTCAGGGAGCGTTTACACCAGGCTTATTTAGTCCAGATGAACCAAACCCTGGAGCACTTTGGGCGGGTTAGTTTGGGTTGCTGTGACTCAAAACAACAGTTCTGTGGAGCGCTCAAACCAATCCAAGAAAGCGTAACATTTATGAGCCAAGAAAAATGTTTTGTCCTCCTGTTATGGTGACTGCTGAACTAGTAGCCTGTTAGCACTTTTGCTACCACTGAATTTGATAAATGTAGTGTTTATAGGACCACAAATGAGACACAAAGTAGTCATCAATCACACCCTCCCTACCTCTGGGAGTTCAGTTTCAAACCAGCCAGCAGCTTCATTAGAAACATGTTGCCTCATTGATACTGTAGGAGCCATGACACTTACAAAGTCATGTATTTTGTTTTAATACAAATTAGTTTTGTACTAGTTTATATTTGGGTAATGGTTTATTATTATAAGATATTATTATGTGATCACAATGGGTTGGTTTGGGTTGCTTGGATATGGGCGAATTATAATCCTGTTCACCTGCGTGAGTCGTGCGTGGAAGAGAGGCTCGTTGTATCTTTAGTTTTCGGCAAACTTTGCTTTGGTTATTATTACAATTTCTATGTTGTACTAAGTTGATCATCTCATTCTGCATTAAATTATTCACCGCAATTTTGATCTCAGCACGTACTGTTTGATAGCGTGTCATACAATTGCAACCAGGCCCGGCCTCAGCCTCTCAGCGACTTTGTTTCCTGCTGTCGCTAGACAGACACTTTACTCAAATACATGAAAGAGGAGTGAGTTAAATGTCACTCTTTCACGCTTCAATAAGGAGCAGCTGCAATTGAGGGCAGTCAACAACCAATCAAAAGACAGCAGAATGAAGCGGTGCAAGCTAGCAGGGGAGGTAAACGTAGAGACTTCACTATTATCGCAGCAAGGCTCCGTGTGGCGAGCCTCATCATGTGAATAGCTTCACCATCCTCTCCTTCCTTTCTGCTTCCTTCCCCTCCCAGGTAGTGACAGCCATGTTGGCGGCGGTGTGTTTGCGGCTGCTCTTGCTCCTCCCTCTGGTCTTCAGCGTCCCCCCCCCCTCCAGATCTCCTTCCAGACTCTGCAGACGCTGCTGTGAATACCCAGAGCCGCCAGCAGGCTCCAGCCAGTACCAGATGCCTGAGGTCCGCACCGTCATCAACATGACCATCCTCAAAGGTACCGGTTAGCTTCTGTTAGCCACCAGGTCACATTTAGATGAAGTGTAATACTACTTCCTGTTTTATTAGCAGTTTCTAAAGAACTACGATTAAAGGTCTCCTATTATACTATTTGTAGGCGTATATTATAGGTCTCAGATATATAGAAAAACATGTCTATGAAGTGTTTTGCTCAAAATACCAAACAGATGACCAGTTCTAGCTTCATATCCCTCTTTCAGCCTGTTACTAAAGTGCTGATTCTGGGTCCGTAGCTTTAAAAACAAAAAAATAAAATAAAAAGAGAGGAGAGGAGAGCTCATGCTTTTACCCAGAAACTCAGCTAAATGCTGCCGTGATTAAACGCCATAGTATGTTCCAAACCACATCAAGGATTCTCTCTGAAACTGCTTCTTCACACACACTCTCTCAGTACAGGTTAGCTCTGAGTGTTAGCATGCTAATGTAAACAAAGACCATATTACTTCCAGAACACGTCTCATTGTTTCTGACAGCAACGTTTCTGATTGGCCCGTGGGGGTAAAGCCCGCCCACATTTTAGTAATGTCGTCATGACGCAGAAAATCTGGATCAGCTCCGTTGTTCCCCCGTTTTTAGAGATGTGGGTACGGAGGAAAAGAGAGAGGGGTTTATTTCCTGACACTTTGTGAGTCTCCTGACACACCGGGGACACACCGGGGACACACCGGGGACACGCCGGGGACACACCGGGGACACGCCGGGGACACACCGGGGACACGCCGGGGACACACCGGGGACACGCCGGGGACACACCGGGGACACGCCGGGGACACACGGGGGACACACCGGGGACACACCGGGGACACACCGGGGACACGCCGGGGACACACCGGGGACACGCCGGGGACACACCGGGGACACGCCGGGGACACACGGGGGACACACCGGGGACACACCGGGACACGCCGGGGACACACCGGGGACACACCGGGGACACACCGGGGACACACGGGGGACACGTCGGGGACACACCGGGGACACGTCGGGGACACGCCAGGGACACGCCGGGGACACATCGGGGACACACCGGGGACACGCCGGGGACACATCGGGGACACGCCGGGGACACGCCGGGGACACACCGGGACACATCGGGGACACACGGGGGACACATCGGGGACACACGGGGGACACACCGGGGACACACCGGGGACACACCGGGGACACACGGGGGACACATCGGGGACACACCGGGGACACGCCGGGGACACACCGGGGACACACGGGGGACACATTGGGGACACACCGGGGGCACACCGGGGACACACCGGGGACACACCGGGGACACATGGTGATGTAGAGAAGACATCAAAAAGTGTATTTGCATGACAGGAGAGCTTTAAGATGAGCTTGAATGATGCTTCCTGTGTTATTGTTCAGTTCCTCAAGCTATGATCAAGCAGCTTCATTTCAGTGACGTTGCACGTTCGTTCATCAAAAGACATCCATTCTCAAATGTCTGTTACCATTTTCCTGCTTTGAGCTGCATTTTCTCAATCAGATGTGAGCTTCTGCTTCCCCGGATGGCTGTGTGTCGGGCGCGGCGACTATTCAGTCAGAAGAGGAATCATGTATGATGGAAAGGGAAGAGCGCTGTGGAAGTGTAATCATGCATTCATGGTTAAGTGGGATTGAGATACAAAAGCAATAATCGAAAAGGAAATGAGGCACTCAGCTCTTAGAAAGACCTGGAAGCACTTTCAAAATCAATGTCTTTTCAACATTTTCAAAGGAACAAGTCTTCCTAATAACACAGGCAATATGCACAGTGGTGTATTGATGTATCACACTTCTTTGTTGGGGCGTTCACGTGATTTGTTTTGTACAAAAGAAACCATAGACGTTTAGCTCTGTATTCATGGTTAGCAGTCATTGTGCAGCCGAAGCCTGCAAACCAGGGAGGGGATGTAAAGACGCGGGATTAGGGGAGGGAACATTGGGATTTACGCCATTGCAGACCATTCACATGCACACAAACCTATTGAACTACAGTGACACAGAATAGGGCCATGCAGTGAGGAAGAGTGTAAGAACATTTACGTTTTCTTTGATCAAATCTATCTACAAGGAACAAAGAGATTCTGCACGTAATGCTGAACGCTCCATGTCTTTAGGGTTGATTCAGTCTTTCATCTATTTACCATGAGCACCAAAGATAAGACGGAGTATCCATACCAAGCATGTCTTGATCCCTCCGGTCAGATCTTTGATACGACCTCTTTAGGATCTTTAGTCAGATCTGCACTGCTTCTCTCGGATGATAACTTTGCATTTGTGTTTCCTTATGTCTGTTCAGAGTGTGCTGAAGCCAAGGGGAAACAGAGAGTTTGAACAAAGTGCCAAGAGAAAAGGGATTGAAGAATCAAAAGGATTATGATATATCTACGAGCTGCTCAGCTGGAGAGGGATCAGTGAGAACATGTGTCTCTGATATCCCAGCTTTAGGAAGCCAACTGAAGACGAGCGGTCCAACCTTTGTGTCGTCACGCTTTATGTCCTTTGATAACGGAACAAGTCGTTTCTGACCCGCGATCGACCCCCGAACTGACGAACCACCAATATCTCTTTCTCTCTCTTCTTATTCTCCTGCTGGAGAAGCAGAGTTTTCACTGCAGAGGAATCCATTACTTTACCTGAGGAAAGTGCAGCACTCTTTAGTGTCCCCTGGTCTCCAGCTGTGTGCGTCACTCTTTAGTGTCCCCTGGTCTCTCAGCTGTGTGCGTCACTCTTTAGTGTCCCCTGGTCTGCCAGCTGTGTGCGTCACTCTTTAGTGTCCCCTGGTCTCCCAGCTGTGTGTGTCACTCTTTAGTGTCCCCTGGTCTCCCAGCTGTGTGCGTCAATCTTTAGTGTCCCCTGGTCTCTCAGCTGTGTGCGTCACTCTTTAGTGTCCCCTGGTCTGCCAGCTGTGTGCGTCACTCTATAGTGTCCCCTGGTCTCCCAGCTGTGTGTGTCACTCTTTAGTGTCCCCTGGTCTCCCAGCTGTGTGTGTCACTCTTTAGTGTCCCCTGGTCTCCCAGCTGTGTGCGTCACTCTTTAGTGTCCCCTGGTCTCTCAGCTGTGTGCGTCACTCTTTAGTGTCCCCTGGTCTGCCAGCTGTGTGCGTCACTCTTTAGTGTCCCCTGGTCTCCCAGCTGTGTGTGTCACTTTTAGTGTCCCCTGGTCTCCCAGCTGTGTGCGTCACTCTTAGTGTCCCCTGGTCTCCCAGCTGTGTGTGTCACTCTTTAGTGTCCCTTGGTCTCCCAGCTGTGTGCGTCACTCTTTAGTGTCCCCTGGTCTCCAGCTGTGTACGTCACTCTTTAGTGTCCCCTGGTCTCCCAGCTGTGTACGTCACTCTTTTGTGTCCCCTGGTCTTCCAGCTGTGTGCGTCACTCTTTAGTGTCCCCTGGTCTCCAGCTGTGTGCGTCACTCGTTAGTGTCCCCTGGTCTCCAGCTGTGCACGTCACTCTTTAGTGTCCCCTGGTCTTCCAGCTGTGTGCGTCACTCTTTAGTGTCCCCTGGTCTCCCAGCTGTGTACGTCACTCTTTTGTGTCCCCTGGTCTTCCAGCTGTGTGCGTCACTCTTTAGTGTCCCCTGGTCTACAGCTGTGTGCGTCACTCTTTAGTGTCCCCTGGTCTCCAGCTGTGTACGTCACTCTTTAGTGTCCCCTGGTCTCCCAGCTGTGTACGTCACTCTTTTGTGTCCCCTGGTCTTCCAGCTGTGTGCGTCACTCTTTAGTGTCCCCTGGTCTCCAGCTGTGTGCGTCACTCGTTAGTGTCCCCTGGTCTCCAGCTGTGTACGTCACTCTTTAGTGTCCCCTGGTCTTCCAGCTGTGTGCGTCACTCTTTAGTGTCCCCTGGTCTCCCAGCTGTGTACGTCACTCTTTTGTGTCCCCTGGTCTTCCAGCTGTGTGCGTCACTCTTTAGTGTCCCCTGGTCTCCAGCTGTGTGCGTCACTCTTTAGTGTCCCCTGGTCTCCCAACTATGTGCGTCACTTTTTAGTGTCCCCTGGTCTCCCAGCTGTGTGTGTCACTCTTTAGTGTCCCCTGGTCTCCCAGCTGTGTGCGTCACTCTTTAGTGTCCCCTGGTCTCCAGCTGTGTGTGTCACTCTTTAGTGTCCCCTGGTCTCCCAGCTGTGTGCGTCACTCTTTAGTGTCCCCTGGTCTCCCAGCTGTGTGCGTCACTCTTTAGTGTCCCCTGGTCTCCCAGCTGTGTGCGTCATTCTTTAGTGTCCCCTGGTCTCCCAGCTGTGTGCGTCACTCTTTAGTGTCCCCTGGTCTCCCAGCTGTGTGCGTCACTCTTTAGTGTCTCCTGGTCTGCCAGCTGTGTGCGTGACTCGTTAGTGTCCCCTGGTCTCCAGCTGTGTGCATCACTCTTTAGTATCCCCTGGTCTCCAGCTGTGTGCGTCACTCTTTAGTGTCCCCTGGTCTCCCAGCTGTGTGCGTCACTCTTTAGTGTCTCCTGGTCTGCCAGCTGTGTGCGTGACTCGTTAGTGTCCCCTGGTCTCCTGCTGTGTGCATCACTCTTTAGTATCCCCTGGTCTCCAGCTGTGTGCGTCAGTCTTTAGTGTCCCCTGTTCTCCCAGCTGTGTGCGTCACTCTTTAGTTTCCCCTGGTCTCCAGCTGTGTGCGTCACTCTTTAGTGTCCCCTGGTCTCCCAGCTGTGTGTGTCACTTTTTAGTGTCCCCTGGTCTCCAGCTGTGTGCGTCACTCTTTAGAGTCCCCTGGTCTCCCAGCTGTGTGCGTCACTCTTTAGTGTCCCCTGGTCTCCAGCTGTGTGCGTCACTCTTTAGAGTCCCTTGGTCTCCCAGCTGTGTGCGTCACTCTTTAGTGTCCCCTGGTCTCCAGCTGTGTGCGTCACTCTTTAGTGTCCCTTGGTCTCCCAGCTGTGTGTGTCACTTTTTAGTGTCCCCTGGTCTCCAGCTGTGTGTGTCAGTCTTTAGTGTCCCCTGGTCTCCCAGCTGTGTGCGTCACTCTTTAGTGTCCCCTGGTCTCCCAGCTGTGTGCGTCACTCTTTAGTGTCCCCTGGTCTCCAGCTGTGTGCGTCACTCTTTAGAGTCCCCTGGTCTCCCAGCTGTGTGTGTCACTCTTTAGTGTCCCCTGGTTTCCAGCTGTGTGCGTCACTCTTTAGTGTCCCCTGGTCTCTCAGCTGTGTGCGTCACTCTTTAGTGTCCCCTGGTCTCCAGCTGTGTGCGTCACTCTTTAGTGTCCCCTGGTCTCCCAGCTGTGTGCGTCACTCTTTAGTGTCCCCTGGTCTCCCAGCTGTGTGCGTCACTCTTTAGTGTCCCCTGGTCTCCCAGCTGTGTGCGTCATTCTTTAGTGTCCCCTGGTCTCCCAGCTGTGTGCGTCACTCTTTAGTGTCCCCTGGTCTCCCAGCTGTGTGCGTCACTCTTTAGTGTCTCCTGGTCTGCCAGCTGTGTGCGTGACTCGTTAGTGTCCCCTGGTCTCCAGCTGTGTGCATCACTCTTTAGTATCCCCTGGTCTCCAGCTGTGTGCGTCACTCTTTAGTGTCCCCTGGTCTCCCAGCTGTGTGCGTCACTCTTTAGTGTCTCCTGGTCTGCCAGCTGTGTGCGTGACTCGTTAGTGTCCCCTGGTCTCCAGCTGTGTGCATCACTCTTTAGTATCCCCTGGTCTCCAGCTGTGTGCGTCAGTCTTTAGTGTCCCCTGTTCTCCCAGCTGTGTGCGTCACTCTTTAGTGTCCCCTGGTCTCCCAGCTGTGTGTGTCACTTTTAGTGTCCCCTGGTCTCCAGCTGTGTGCGTCACTCTTTAGAGTCCCCTGGTCTCCCAGCTGTGTGCGTCACTCTTTAGTGTCCCCTGGTCTCCAGCTGTGTGCGTCACTCTTTAGAGTCCCTTGGTCTCCCAGCTGTGTGCGTCACTCTTTAGTGTCCCCTGGTCTCCAGCTGTGTGCGTCACTCTTTAGTGTCCCTTGGTCTCCCAGCTGTGTGTGTCACTTTTAGTGTCCCCTGGTCTCCAGCTGTGTGTGTCAGTCTTTAGTGTCCCCTGGTCTCCCAGCTGTGTGCGTCACTCTTTAGTGTCGCCTGGTCTCCCAGCTGTGTGCGTCACTCTTTAGTGTCCCCTGGTCTCCAGCTGTGTGCGTCACTCTTTAGAGTCCCCTGGTCTCCCAGCTGTGTGTGTCACTCTTTAGTGTCCCCTGGTTTCCAGCTGTGTGCGTCACTCTTTAGTGTCCCTTGGTCTCCCAGCTGTGTGTGTCACTCTTTAGTGTCCCCTGGTTTCCAGCTGTGTGCATCACTCTTTAGTGTCCCCTGGTCTCCAGCTGTGTGTGTCAGTCTTTAGTGTCCCCTGGTCTCCCAGCTGTGTGCGTCACTCTTTAGTGTCCCCTGGTCTCCCAGCTGTGTGCATCACTCTTTAGTGTCCCCTGGTCTCCAGCTGTGTGCATCACTCTTAGTGTCCCCTGGTCTCCCAGCTGTGTGCATCACTCTTTAGTGTCCCCTGGTCTCCAGCTGTGTGTGTCAGTCTTTAGTGTCCCCTGGTCTCCCTGCTGTGTGCGTCACTCTTTAGTGTCCCCTGGTCTCCGTTGTGTTTTGAGCGTCTTCAGAGTTTGGTTCCTGCAGCTTTTAGTAAACGCTGCATGTCTCCTCAAGTTGCTGAATGTTCTCTAAATGCTGCATGTGTTGCTGGAGATGTTTCTTCATGTGTACAGAAACATTTGTGTTTCTATATCTGCATCGTTCTGGAGTCGTATGGATTGTTTTGGGCCGTTGCACCTGTCGGACACCGTACACTTTGCACACCGGGAGTTACTGTAACCATGAAGGAAATGGGAGTCACATGACTAATGTTTGAGTTCCTTGTTATTGACATATGTCAGATGTTACTCACATGAGGCAATAAAACATTATATAACAACAACACTGTATTGCAGCTGTGCATTAAGGGAGGTCTCAACAGATACTGGCACTGAACATGCATATGTGGCGAAAAACACACACACACGCACACACACACACACACACACACACACACACACACAGTTGTGCTCTCTTTCTCCTCTGTGACTCACAGACTGCCCACTGGAAAACAACATATTCTGCTTTAAATGTGTGTGAGAGTGTTTCCCTGAAGCTGCGATGATTGCATTAAGACCACCATAATCTCAGTCCCTCAGACAGTATCAATCAATCAATCAATCAATCAATCAATCAATCAATGTTTATTTATATAGCCCAATATCACAAATATATATATAGACACCAAAAAGAAAGACATTTGGGGAAGACCACCATAATCTCAGTCCCTCAGCCAGTTTGGCTTTTAGAGAGCCAAATCTCTGAAATGAAAGCAGAACCCACGGCCATGGACTGTAAAGAGACTCTGCACCCACACAGATTAGACATCACATCTACATCCAACGCAATAAATCATATTTACACAGCGTGGAAACATTCAGGAGGTTGGCTTGAGTTCAGTTGAGTTGCAAAATGCACTCTCTTAGATCCTGCAGTCAGTAAGCCTTAAAGGATGTGTTTACCAGCTGGATCTCATATCTGCTGTCCTTCAGCTTTACATATCTAACATATAGTGATTGGATTCATTGTCATTCCTCTGGAGAGACCGTATAGGACATTTGATTCTTGACCAAAGGAACTTTTATTCCATATGTAACCGGTGTTGATTAGCGGTGTCTGCGTTGTGTTTCTTTTGTTGAAGGATGAGACCCGAGTCAGCATACCGTCGAGCCGATCTCCGTTTATTCACTGACAACCGATATATAACAAATCAGTCGGTAAAATATATCTCGTTTTTCCTCACACTTTGACTCCTCTCCCGTGGAACACATTGATAAAAAGGGAAGAGGAACACTTTAGGGATACAATATAAAGGGTAACAAAAATAATGGTCTGTGTACACCGACTGAATTGTGCATGTTCCGCCCACTGATTTCAGACCTAGTCAGGTATTTAACGTTTAGTAAATTAAGAACACAGAATTTGTGTGATTTTAATAAATGAATCACCCAGAAATATTTGACACCAAACACCACTGCATATGTACAACTGTTACACATATACAAAACAACCATTTCTATTGGTACCTCAATATTTGTACTTCACAAAGAGAAGGACATGTCAGGACCTTGCAGGAGCATGAGGTTGTTTCTGTTCAAGATAAAGGATCAGTCCCATGTATGTATGGGAGGTGGTGCTAAGCTGTTAGCGTGGTCAGACGTGGGCAGATCATTTAGAGGATGGCTGATGTTTACCTCCAGGCTCCAGGAGGCGAGGGAGGCTTCTTCCTGTGTGGGTTACCCGACTCAGAGGGGCTGCCGGCAGAGCAACCACATCCTCCCAAACCCCATCCCCTCAGGAAGCCTGTGCCTCCCGTCAGGTCATCATTGTAAATAAGAATTTGTTCTTAATTGATTTTCCTGGATAAATAAAGGTTGTACTACTACATGGACCTTAATATATAAAACAGTCTCTTACGACTTCTGTAGATGAGAGCAGAGCTACGTCACCAGCTGGAGGAATTACGGCCCCGCCCACTTTCTGGTGAAAACAAAGAATCAGGGCCAAGCCGAAAAACAGTTGTATCATGCCTAAAAGCTGCTGTGTTGTGTATTGCGAGTCAAACAACAAACAAGATCCAAAGTTCAACAGGACCTGTTCTGGTTTCTGGGGTTTCCCCCCCACTGTAGTGTGTTCTATTGGTTTAGGTGCATGTAAATGGTCTCCAAAGCCTAAAATCCCTGTGCTTTTAGGGGAGTTTTCTCTCAAACATCAAAGTTTTCCACTTTTACGTCGTTTTTCTCTCCCTTTTGGAAAATGTCTTCCCTCTTTCAGTTACAGATATCATCAATGTCAGTGCAATTCCTACTGGTACTCAGTGGAAGTCTAAGTTGATAGATTATATACAAATGGCCTTGTCTCCTTGAATCTTAACACAGTTTACTTTTTCCACAAAGACCCTCCTCACATATATCTGTCTGAACATTTTTGTCCCACGGTGCCTGAGAGGAACATAAATAAGATAAGCATCGCTTTAACTGAAATCCTTCGGATTTAAAAGTCGGACTTAGAATGAATAATGTCAAAGCTTCGCTGCAACTTGTTTCTATTTCTGGATGTGTTACCATAATGAGAGACAAAGAAGCTAGATGGCTTTGTGTTTTTGTCTGAATGAATGCTTCTGTTTTGTCTCAGATCTGTTTTGTATCTGTGATACAATTGGTTTGATAATTAGAGAACTCTTAACCTAGACAATTCTATATTGCGCATAAAAGTTAGCCTAAGTATTTCAGCCAAATCCATTAGAATGATCAACAATGGAATCTCTTGCATTGTATCATCTAATTAGATGTCAAACCAGTAAGTTAATCTGTGCCGTCAAGAACAACATTTAAAGCGTAGTTGACAACAATGCATGATGGGAAACGGATTAACATAACAGTAAAAGACAGTATGAGGAAAAGGTGCAACAGAAAACAGTGTTTAAGGAAGTTGCAGGAATTAAAACATAATTAACATTCAGAACATCTACGAACTTCCATGTGTCTGTCTGCACCTCTCACCTGCCTCCTCTCATCCTCACAGGTGATACAGGAGACCGAGGCAACAAGGGTACCCCTGGTAAACCTGGTTTAGAGGGACCTCCAGGCCACGGAGGACCGTTGGGCCCTAAAGGCCCCAAAGGCCACCAAGGTGTCCCAGGAGACGCCTGTAAGATCCCCCAGTCCTCCTTCTCCGTGGGCCGTCGGAAGTCCCTGCACAGCCTCGACTACTACACGGCGCTGGTGTTCGACACGGTGTTCGTCAACCAGTACGAGCACTTCAACATGTTCAAGGGCAAGTTCTACTGCTACGTGCCCGGGATCTACTTCTTTAACGTGAACATCCACACCTGGAACTTCAAGGAGACGTACCTGCACCTGATGCACAACGACAAGGAGCAGGTGATCCTGTACGCCCAGCCCAGCGAGAGGTCCATCATGCAGAGCCAGAGTGTTATGATGGACCTGAGTCTGAACGACGAGGTGTGGGTGCGACTCTACAAGAGGGAGCGGGAGAACGCCGTGTACAGCGACAACGTGGACGTTTACATCACCTTCAACGGATACCTGGTGGCACCGAGCGCCCAATGAGACTGGGACAAAGGGGATTATAAAAAGAGTCATCGCTGGGATTATTGGGTCTTCACGCCGAGGAGAGAAGATAATTTAATAGAGGAAGTTTGGTGCTTTTTTATATATAACGTTCAGCCTGGACAGGAATATAAGGAACCAAAAGTAAAACAGGTTCAAGTTCAAGATAAGTCAGAATTCTGAAATGTTCTCAAAATCTTGACTTTTTTCTAATGATTTTGAGAAAAAAGTAATTTAGAGATTTTCTCAGGGTTTTGACTTTAATCTCAGAATAAAGTCAGTGTTTCTTTTCTAACCATTTTGAAATTAAAATAAGAAAAAATACTTGTTGTAATTTTAGATTAAAGTACGATTTCAAACTTTTTCTCGGATTTCAAACTTTTTCCTTCAAAATCCAGACTTTATTCGGATAATTCAGATTTTCTATCCGAATTTGTGAAACAAGTAATAATCCTTTTTGTTATAATTTTGCGATTAAAGTTGGAATTCAGATTTTTATTTGTTCTCAGTTTTGTCTTTGTCTTATTCCACTTTTGGGCAGATCTCAAACTCTTTTTCTTTCTTCAACCTTGATACCTTGATCTCTTCAAGAAAACGTAAGGTAACACAAGGTCATAAACTACACTTTTAGGAATCAATTTAAATGACCTGCTTTGCACTAGAAAGCCACTCACTTCTCCTCTTTGGGCGTCTTCCCTTTCCTTTCAGGGACTTTGTGTTGAAACACAAGTTGTGTCACGCATCAGGAATCTTCTATCCGTGCTATCAGTTGTGTTTATAAAGAGCTTCTGTCAGACTCAAATGTGTTTGGACAGACAGCTGTCAGACCTTTAACAAACGTTTCCTTCATGCCTGTCAGAATGTTAAAGGGTCAGTTCACCAAAACTCATCAGATTACTGTACATAAAGCCATGGTTTCTTCGAACCCTCACAAGTTCGTTTTATGTAAATGTTAAACAGCATGTTTGAAACTTTGCATATCAACCGAGAGAAAATATGTTTCTTGTTGGTTCTTGTTGGAGAAGCTTTGACTGTTTCATTTACATAATGTTCCTAAAGGAGTTAACCCTCTAAATGGAAGAAGGAAGAGCACAGTTGGGTTTTATCTTTCTGTATTTGTGTTGAACTGACCCTTAAACCTAAATGTATGCCAACGTATCAAAATGAAAAAGGGTGCTTTAATTTCCCAGAGCAGGAATTCATTGGGATGTTGATGATAAACTGATGTATTCTCACAGAGACTCCAAGCTGCAGAGCAGTTAATGTAAATAGCTGTATAGAAGCTGTCTTTATTACTTCGGCTCGTTTGCACCTGTCGGCCATCGTACCTTATAGTCAGTATCTGTGCTAGCATTCATGCTCAGGGCTGGACTGTGTGTGTGTTTCCTTCTTCATTAACCAAGTATCTACTTGTTCTGTTTCACTGAGCGACAAACAGACACTTGATTATGAAACATTAAACATTTCAGAATGAAAAGTGAAATCAGAGGCTTCTATGTTTCATTAATGTTTCACAATGTTTTTTCTTTTCACCACAAAGCACATCATCACATTCCTGCAGGAAACTGATGCTCTGCTTTCTAATTCTTTACAAATGACACCATGTAGGACTCGGCTCACAAAGTGCTCTAAATCCAAGAGGGAAATGATTCAATCCCAAAAATCATCAAACTCTCCAAAACAAACCAGCCAGCAGAAAGCCGTCTCCAAGAGGCGTGGGATGGGTCTGCGCTCATGCCAGCTCCATCTGTTGGGCGTATCTCCCCCATTAGCTGTGATGCCGTCCTGCGGGAGGCTCGCTAGAGGGGAGGCAGACTGCTGCGTTGTGAATACTTTAAGCCATGAGTGGAGATCTAAAAATCTCTGTTGGTAAACTGAGCGGGACATCTGAACATTGTCATGGATCATCAGCAGACTGTTCCAACATGCACGACACAAGCTGTCCGTTTAATGCACGACACAAGCTGTCCGTTTAACGAGCGGCGGAGCACTTAGGCGTGAAATCTGGCCCAGTTTAATTTGCTCTAATTTAGGTTTAATACGACTCAATATTTACACACTGGTCACATGAAAAGGTGAATTGTTAGGGAGCGTTAGTGGACATGAATTCGATCAGGTGACAAAAGAAACCCATCAAGCGTTGAGATGTCCATGGTGTCCAAAATAGCGGAAGTAAATTCACATAACTTCAATAACGTAAGAAACAATCTATTTATATCTTTCTTCCAATAAGATTTGTTGAAATTGTGTTTTATGTTCATTTAGAATATCCATCATATTGCGAACGTTAAAACTGCAAACATAATCCAGGAGAAAATATGATTTCCTTGTTGATTCTGAGAGTCAAAACTCTCAAATGACCCTTTAAATCTGATTCAATCAAAGAACTAATACAAAAACCAGCTTATAATCACTTTGTTTCCCGTTAAAGTGACGTGCTGTGATTTACCTACATGCGCTCAGTTGCAGCCCAACTTTTACAAGACTGCAGAAAACAAGTCGAGGTTTCACTTAATCCTGTTTAACAATAAATAATTAAGTGGCGTAAAATCTCCTGCAATTATCCCTGCAGAGTGTTGACAGTAGCTAACGGGGTTTATGGAAGGATGTGAGCACAGGCTTTTCAGAACCAGAAGCTGTTTTATTGACAAAGTAAATTGCAAAAGTTCACTGTAGAAAATGTGAAATAAATTACAGGAAATACAGACGAAGGTTTGTGTTACACAGCTCTTGCATTTGGGTCGCTGTTTGCATGGATATTTACAATTTATTTTTACAAGCAAATACAGCAAATCGCTTTGGAAAATACGACTTACCAAAGCAACAGAATTTAAACTTGACAGGAACAGGAGATAAACGTAATAAGAAATTAAGATTGCATCCTTCCAAAAAATCAATACACTTCAGTTCACGCGCCTCGATGTTTGGTAAAGAGAACGTTTGATAGTATTCTTGTTAATTGTTGGTATTTCTCCATATTTTGCCCGTTTGAGTTGCATTTCATACTGCCTGTTCTTGGAGTGATATAAACCAGGAAAAAGTCAAGTGGTCTTTTTATTCTGACACCTTTGTCAAAGCAATTCCTATCCATGACCCCTTTGTTCAATCGCTGATGGATTGTCCAATGAGACGTTGATAAACTGTACAGTCTTCAACACAAGGACTAGAAATTGTATTACAGGCTTGTTTTGTTACTTCCTGTCCGATAAATCATTACCCAGTTGTCCAAAGTAATCCTCTGAACATGCTCAAGTTGACCCCAAAGTTAAGGACGTACATACAGGTCTCCAACGATTCAACTTTAGGTTTGATTGAATGATTATGATTAATGATTTGATCTAAAGAAATGCCCCCGGTGTGTAAAGGCCTTGAGGAAGCAAAGAAATCAGACTTGAACTGGAACGTATTCCTCCAACAGTCCATACCGTAAATGGACATCTGCTCCCCTCTTTGAGATGGTTCTTACGATGTAAACACAGGTCTTAAAGCGCAACACTCTTTAAACTTTAAACAGACAGACCACTTGGAAAAGTGAGCGTTCAAGACCAGACCTGGAAACAAGAGCCACCTGTAAAGAAACGGACCAGAAGAAGTTGAATGTCGTAAAACAGGAAACGAGGAGCATAACCTCTGAACAGACTAGTAATCCTCCGGGTCACAAGATGTACGGCTCAGTAGATACTGTCAGTATCAGTACCAAAACGATGCCGTTAGCATTCCTGCGGCTACGTATTTCTGCAGTTATGTAACTGATCAGGAGGGAAGTCGGCGTGTTGTGAGGAAGGACATAATGAATGTTTGAGACGGTTAAAGACGGTGTTGTTTAGGTTGTGGAGTGTAAACAGCTGTTTCTCCGGGCTGTCTGAAGTGAAGCCTGTTAGCTCGAGGATCAGAGACAGGAAGCAGGCCGGAGGGCTGAGGCTGCTCTCCTAATTACAACCACATGACCTCTGACCTGTCATCTGTCAGAGCCACACTGAGGGGTGGACTGACTTGAGAAAAACATGGGGATCAGGAAGAGAAACAGGTAGGAGCAAATGAACGGAAAATAATGATATAGAGCTTCTGATAGCGTTGTGTGACGCTGAGGGGGGAAGTCTGATCGATACGTGAAGCGGTTGGTGGTGAACCCTGGGCTTCGGCTGTGGGCTTTATTGTTATGATAATAACACTTTGAATCTTGAATCTTGAAATGCATAATGGTCCTGACCAAATTTGAAGTCGATCGGTTAAAGTTTGTTTTGTTACAGAGACAGAAAAACACAATTAATCAGCAAATGTGAAATTCCCAAAATAGCCGTTTTGCGACATACCTCCAAGAGGCTTTTTTGTTCGTCTACGAATGTTGTATATGCATACCAGATGTTATGCGTCTATATAAAAGTGAAAGAGGGGGGGTTAACTTTGAAAACCAGAAGTGGGCGTGGTCTACACTATGTTTCACAATAAATCACAAAACCCAATTCAGAACTATATTTTCCAGTTCTGACGGATGTGTGTGTGAGTGAGTGAGTGAGAGAGAGAGAGAGAGAGAGAGAGAGAGAGAGAGAGAGAGAGAGAGAGAGAGAGAGAGGAGAGAGAGAGAGAGAGAGAGAGAGAGAGAGAGAGAGAGAGAGAAAAAAACTAACTTTGAGGTCATTCAGAGTTTTATGTTGGCAGTCTTTTCCTCTTTCTCTCTTTGCCTCTCAGTTGCGAGTAAGCCATGTGTTCTTGGCCCGGTCGATGGAAGTGAAGCATAGTCCCAAGGTTTATAAATAAACGGCTCAAACAACTAAGTGCAGGACCTAGGACACACAACAAGCATAGCTAACCACACACACACACACACACACACACACACACACACACACACATACCATACCATCACTTCAGGGGACATTACATTGACTTACATGCATTTCCTGGAGACTTACCCTAACCTTAACCATAACCAACACATGCCTAACCCTAACCCTTACCCTAACCCTAACCCTTACCCTAACCCTAACCCTAACCCTAACCCTAACCCTAACCCTAACCCTAACCCTAACCCTAACCCTAACCCTAACCCTAACCCTAATCCTAACCTAACCAAGTCTTCACCCTAAAATGAATGACTCCCCTCATGGGGACCTCAATTTTGTTCCCATGAGGGAGGCGAGTCCCCACACGTGACTATGTAAACAGATTTAGGTCCCCACAAGTAGAGTAATTCTAGGTTTACACACACACACACACACACACACACACACACACACACACACACACACACACACACACACACACACACACACACACACACACACACACACACAGAGAGAACAATAATCAGTGTTTAAGTCAGAGAGCTTTAGTAGAAGACATTCTTAAACAAATCATAAACTGTAGTGATCTTGTTAGTGATGAGCAGCCTTCTTGTAATAGCATACGGTAAAGACAACAATATGTTTGGTATCAAGTTGTTTTAAATGGTGCTTACATGTAGTAACACATCATAAAACATGCATTATGATTCACACTTTCCATGATACAAAGTGTCTTATAACAGCAGCCACTTACAAATGCTTATATTAACTTAACCTCGTTAGCTTCGTGTATTCTTTAACATCCATCCATCCATCTTCCCCCGCTTATCCGTGGTCGGGTCTCGGGGGTAGCAGTTCCAGCAGAGAGCCCCAAACTTCCTTTTCCCTGGCCACATCAACCAGCTCTGACTGGGGGGTCCCAAGGCGCTCCCAGGCCAGCGAAGAGATATAATCCCTCCACCTGGTCCTAGGTCTACCCCTTGGTCTCTTCCCAGCTGGACGTGCCTGGAACACCTCCCTAGGGAGGCGCCCAGGTGGCATCCTAACTAGGTGCCCGAACCACCTCAACTGGCTCCTTTCGACGCGAAGGAGGAGCGGCTCAACTCCGAGTCCCTCCCGGATGACCGAACTTCTCACCTTATCCCTAAGGGAGACACCAGCCACCCTGCGGAGAAAACCCATCTCGGCCGCTTGTATCCGCGATCTCGTTCTTTCGGTCATGACCCATCCTTCATGACCATAGGATTCTTTAACATATATATATATATTTTTTAGATGGCTAGACATTATTGTTATGTCCCTAACCCTTTCACAGTTGAGTGTACTGATGTTATATTGCGAGGCTCTGACACAGTCGTAGTGTTTGTTGATGCTGACACATTCACAGCCTTATAAGATCACAACACTCAGAGAGGAAGCCTGGGTGCTGAAGCTCCACCAGATTAAAAGCACCTCATAAACCAAGAGAGCCGTTTTAAAGATGCAGGGCTACTTGAGCGTGTCGTTGCAGGGTGTTATGATGGAGGTTGATCACACTTTACTGTTATTAGAGGACATCACAGTGCGTTACGAGACCTGGAACTCCTATCTGTAAGGAATGCAAGGGCCATTTATACGTTATAGATACTGGCAATGGCAGATCTGAAATCTGTGTTTTTAAGTAATCAAAAGTGTTCATTTACTGATTTTTACACAATGTTATAT